TAGGGCCGTAGTGCGGTAGTGACACTTTTCCGGACATGGGTCCCTATACTCAAATGTTTTCTACTGTTGCACTGAATAACCCCTAGAAGTTTGATCCCATAGTTCTGAAACACCCTGTATACTCATAGACACGGCCTGTAGATATGAATCCACGAGTCGAGGTAAAGCAAAGATAATATCATCTACGTGACGTCACATGTGGACATTTCAGCAATGGCTAAATACGGCCTCGTAGATGATATTATCTTATCTTCAAGGCAGTTATCTGAAGCCGTCTATAAACGCGCCTTTGCTTTGCCCACATGTGACGTCATGTAGATAATATTATCTTTGCTTCAAGATAGTTGTCTGAAGCTGTATCTATAAGTATATATGGTCTAAGGCTCACTGAATCATTTCGTGAACGCGGGGAACTAAAAGTACGAGGGCGGTATTCCCTAGCAGTAAGTACTGCCAACAAGCGCCGTACTAACTGTAGCAAATCTCGAAAAATTGACCAATTACGTTAAGCGATTGGTTACTGTAACAAATATGAATGGTGAGTTCCGTGAGATCTAATACCTGCAACTCGCGAATGCGTCTCAAGCCCGTTCTATATATTGATCGCAAGCGAAAACGCAAGGAACAAGTCTGGTAGAATTGACTAATCGTATTGATCAAATCAGCTAATTGACCAGCGTGATTGGTCAATTCTACGAGATTTATACCTTGCGTTTGCGCTTGCGATCAATGCAGCACGGGTATTATATAGCAGATTTAACGTGAGTAAACATTTGCAGATTTCCCAAAATACTAGGGAATTTTGGAAGAATCTCTAAACACAATTTTGTTCGAAAGTCCACATAACGGGTAAGTAGAGAAAAAGTGGATTACGAGCCGCGGAGGTGGCTGGAGAAGAGCGAGGCGAGGGAAGGCGGAAAGGAAGTAAGAAGCGAAAATAGAAGGGGTTAAAACCCCTCCGCCAACAAACGATATTAAACAAAACTTACTACATGGTTGAGTGGCGACGGTGTCGGGTTGGCTGCAGGCACTTAGAAGTGGAGCTAGGGAATACCAGTGCGGCTTAAGAGCCCCGGCTTTGGCACTCACGGCACCAAAAGTTTAAAACACTTTGTACCACAATACGTCCGACCATGCAAAGTAGCGGCTCTTGACTGTATCTAATTCTGAGAGTTCTGGCTTATACTCTCAAGAAAAGTGGTGAAAGGAGGGAAGAGGGGAAGTGAGGGCAAAACGCTCCTGATAAAAAGTGCAGGGGGGGCAAAGCCCCCTGCCTACACACACTACCAAAGGCATCCCAAAAAAATTATTCCCAAAATATAAACGGGTTAGGCACTAGCCTAACCTAACCTGATTAGGTCCTAACATAAATTGAGTTAGATCCTAACCAAGTATTAGTACCTAACCGATTAGGCGGGACTAGTCAAAAGTTAGCCAAAATATTTTTTCTTTTTAAATAGTATGTAAGTATAGTAATACTAATATCTAGGGTTAGGTCCAAACCTAAATTGAAATAAGTCCTAACCGAGTATTAAGACCTAACCGATTAGTAGAGCTAATCTAAGTAAGCAAAAATATTTTTTTTTAAATACTGGGCCTACACACACTATCAAAGGCACCCGAAAAAGTTAATCCCAAAAATTTAAATAAGTAAGGTCAGTATGTTTTCTACAGAAAATAATATTAAAGTAATTTCAGATTCGGATACAGTGGGGCACGATGATATTACATCTTTACTTCCGATTCGCGCAAACACAACAAAAAAAAGTTACGTTTCTTATCTTGAAAACTATTACCAATAGAAGATTGAAACTACAGCAGTGTAATCTCTACTTTAACTCAAGTCGACTCCTACACTCATAATTATAACGCCCACTTAAAAATTTTTTTTTGTTTTTGGTATTTTA